TACCTCTGTAAGGCACAGTCTGCTCAAGAATAGTAGGACTAATCCTTGGAGAGCCCAGAAAGGAGTAGAAAATAGAACAGCTATTTTTTACAATACATGTTACAATATTTTATTTGTAGCCAGAATGGTATCTGATGATTTCCTTTATGGGAGTATGGAAAACTCCTTGATGTAAATATTAAATTCTATAAAGAACTGATGTTTAAAAAACTAAACAGTAACTTTGGTGGCAACAATGGTCATAAAATAACTATAGCTATGCTGGGTTGGAGGGTGGGGGTGGGGAAGCAACATAAAAGAAAAAGTTGGACATACCTTTAATTGTAGCTTCATGGCAACCAGAGTCAGACCCCCTAGTGATGCTCTGGGAACACAGGGAGAGAGGTGGACTTAATTGGTAATTCCAATGTATCCTTCATGCCTGAAGTTCCCATACCTGCCCCATCACAACATATAGTTACACTGATACTACTATATAAGAATAATAAGCTGGAATGCCATCTCCCATCTTTTGCATGTTTGGTCAGGAAACTGATTAAGGTCTTGGACCTACATAAATTGATGGTCTTGGACCTACATAGATCTTGGACCTACATAGCCTTCAGAGCAGCCTGTAAATAAGGAGAGGGTAACCCATTTCTGGACCAACTAAGGCCATTGCAAGGAATACGAAACAGACCAACAGCCTGGTTTCTATATGATTGACCTAGTCCATCATCTTCTGTGCCCCTCCTATATGACCAAGAGGTCATTTTCTTTGTTGTTGGATAAGCCACTCCTGCATTATACAATTCCAGTAAGACATGGCGTGTCCTTCCCCAGTCTTCACTCCATTACATGCAAAATCTCATGGCTGGATCAAGTCAGATAAAAGTAAATCACTGTACTCTTATGTTTACTTGTAAAATAATCTGGTTTAATAGAATTGGTGACATAATTCTACTTTTTAAAAATTATAGAGTGAAGATAAATGTTTAATCAACAATAAAACATTTGAAGTTTCTTCTTCAAATAAACTAGCACCTGAATCTGAAAAAAGTGCAAGCAAAAATGGTTTGAACAGCTTAAATGTCTCTTTGGCCACAATGAGCAAAGTCGATATAGTTATTGTTCCACTGGAAAAGAGAAACTCTACAGCCAAACAGTTAGCAGAAGATAAAGAATCTGGAAATGTACATATTCCCAATGAAACAGAGTCTGAAAGAGCAAGAAATGGTCCAGAATTTAAGGAAGAAAGTTTACTGAAAATGACAAAGCCTTGCCAGAAAACTGGAAATGTAGATACTAAGGAGACAGACTATGGTGATGATACTACAAAAGTTCTGCAACCTACTTCAGAGATTCCATGTGCAAGCAATAAAGTAATTGTTTTCTTTTTCATATATATATATGTATATGTATATATGTTTATGAATCAATTAGAAGGTGTAAATCTGTTGAAAATATGACTGAACTCTTTGAAATACTGGTATCTGCTGCTCCAACAATTACTGGTGCTAAGCTTGTGTCATGAACTGGTTCTGGACGTGGGTTTATCCTGTGCTTTTAGTTGACCTTGCTATGTTGGAACAGCTCCTTTTCTTCAGATAAAGCAATGCAGATTTCTTCTACAGCACAAAAGTGCTTGAGGAAGATGGAACTGTGGACATATTGATGTTTTGCTAGTCTTGGATTTTTTATGATTAATTGTTAATGTATTAATGCTGCTTAATAGTATATATTAATTATGCTCATTGGTAGGGATTTATATTTTTTAGAAATTTATTGCTATACAATATGTTGGCAGAATGAAAATATCATCATCATCATCATCATCATCATCTTGCAAATTGTGCATTCACCTAGCCCATAGCATCTCTTCCAGTTAGACTCTTTTCCTACTCAACCTCATAGACTTTTTGCTGAAAAGTCCATTATTTTGTCTTGGATTTCCCTTCCCAAATCTACATCAGCATTTAATTTCTCTCATTTAATTTCTCTCATTTCTATTATTGATAACATTTTTGAGAAAGTGATAGCTATTTTTCGAGGCAAAACAATTGGCCTGCACCATTTGTTTACATTTAGAGGGCTGTTAAATGAATACATATGCACTCATTTTAGTGTAGTTATAGATATTCAGATCTAAAAATCTCTGAGCCTGTTTTGTGATCTGATTTTGGGGCTTAGAGCTATTTAGGTTGATAAGGACCTCTACATAGCTTTTCTAAAACAGGCACACTGAATTTGAATTACTAATTTAGGCATATAAATATTACCAGGATTATAAGGAGTTATTTTAAACATTTTCAAGTGTTTGGGTTACCTGTTACAATAGTGTAGCGAGGTTGGGAAGAGGAAACCACAAGAGGAAGAGGGATGCAAGGAGGTTCTGTTTTTACCATAAGGAGGAAAAAAAAGATTCAGTTGATAATATATTCTTGATAGTATTTTTGCAGATGTGTTTTTCTGCATCTAGATGAGGTACCCAGATCTTGGAAGATTTGTTGGAATTAATCAGAAGTAAGGTAGAGTAGAACATACATCTACATAATTTTCTTGGCAACGTTACAAAAAGAGTTTACCATTGTCCTCTTCCAGGGTAGTTTGTCATTTTTTTACTTCCTAGTTTAGCCTTAAGTAGAGTGGTACCTCGGGTCACGAACGCTTCTGTTCACGACCAATTCAGGTCACGAACAGCACCGTTTGCAAAGTTTTGCTTCCGTCCACGACCACCGCATCGGGTGCCGAACGGGAACCGCGGCCATTTTCCCTGCCATGACACGTGGTCGTGGCTTCCTGTAGGGAGGGGGACTCTCCCTTCAAGCAATAACCGCCTCCCCACCCGCCTTCCTGTCCTCCACGCCAGAAGTCGCCTCGAGCAAGGTTAGCGT